GCACCATGCGCGGCAGACACCGCATCACAAGTCCTCGGCTGCTGTGCCGGCTTCCACGCATGCCATGTCCATGCGTCTGGATGCGGGACCCATGTTCGGCATCACCCTGATCGCCGCTGCCCTGAGATTTTGGAATATTTCGTGAGTCAAGCGTGTCGAGACGCAGTGCAATCGCGGACTGCACCATCACAGTCTTGCGGATGTGTGGTCCACGCATTCACCTGCTTTCGGTATGACTATAACCACGTCTTCTTCTGCCAATCTCTCACGTCAGCCATCCAGCTCAAGTCGTCTTCGATGAGGTCCACTTTGGCAAATTCGCTGCTTACTACCTGAGGCGAGAGGTGCGTGCAGGTCAGATGCGTCTGGAAATAGAGTTTGCCTGGCAAGCCGAACGTCTCGGGCACCTGCTACGACGTATGCGGGAAGAGGCGGGCACCCTCGGGCTTTGACTCTTCAAGCTGGCTTCAACCCGTCTGGCTGGACGCCCAGCGAACTAGCCGCATCACGGTCTCCTTTGTATAGCATGGCTCACCACACCCCCTCTTTGCGGCTTTCCAGTACTACTTCGACGTACATCCGCCCCTCGCAAAGCTGCTCAACGCCTTTGCAGGCTGGCTCTCAGGATTCAAGGGCGACTTTGACTTTGAGAACATCTCTGACGACTACATTGCCGCAGGTGTGCCGTACGTTGGCATGCGAGCTTTGCCAGCTCTGATGGGGAGCGCGGCTGTCCCGATCGTGTATGCGATCATGAGGGAGACGGGTCACCTGCCTGCGACTGCTTTGCTCAGTGCAGCGTTGCTGGCGTTTGGTACGTACATGGTGCTTGTGCCCTTGAGAAAAGCCGACCACGGGGCCCTCTGACCTTGATACTTTGCCATTACTTGCTGAACGCGCGCATCTAGATAATGCTCACATTGCCCAAGATCGCCTGATCTTGCTAGATGCTGCACTGTGCTTGTTCATGATTGCAAGTCTGTACAGCTACATTCGGTTCTACAAGGAAAGATACAAGTACGTGTCGGATGAGTTCCAAAGACTCCAGGCAACGATAAATGAAGAGCTCACTTGGCCTGCTCGTCGGCCCTTTCACAGTGAATTCGCAACTCAATGGTGGTTCTGGATGATCGCGACAGGAGTCAATCTGGCCCTTACTCTCAGTTGCAAGATGGTCGGGCTGCTGACGTTCGCTAGCGTCGGCGCTGCCGTTGCGTACGATCTTTGGATACTGTTAGACATCAAGCGAGGACTCTCTATGGTGAGTGCGACGTCAACCCCAAGCTCCGACTCCGCTCACCGTCCTCATCATCCCGCAACCGCAGGATCACGTTCTCAAGCATTTCTGGGCCAGGGTGCTGGGCCTGATCATCATACCGATCTTCGTCTACCTCTTCTGGTTCTGGGTTCACTTCAAAATTCTCACTCAATCCGGCACGGGAGACGCCTTCATGAGCAGTCAATTTCAACAGACCCTCGATGGCAATTCGATGCTGAGCCAGGCACGAGGTGAGTCGTTTGTCAACTTGGCTAGGGGAAGCCAAGCTCGGGCGACACGCGGCTGACTTGGCGCACCTCTGATAGAGCTGCACTGGGGCGATAGCATCACCTTGAAGCACAAAGGTACGGATGCGTTTCTACACTCTCATCTCGAGCGCTATCCTCTCAAGTACGACGACGGGCGAATCTCGAGCCAAGGTCAGCAAGTGACGGGATATCCATACAATGATACCAACAATGTCTGGGAGATTGCAAAGCCAGACTTGGACTGGACATCGCTACCGGACTCGGTCGCGGAGGATCAGCGGCAGATCAAGCACCTGGATATTGTCAGGCTACGCCACATCAACAGCAACGCTTTTCTGTTGACTCACGATGTCGCTAGCCCATTGATGCCCACAAATGAAGAGATCACAGTGTGGCCCCACAACGACACTAGCCGTTTCAACGACACGCTTTTCGAATTACACATCGACGGCGCAAAAGACGGCAGCACAAAAGCATGGAAGTCGAAGAGCTCGTGGTTCAGGCTCGTCCACGTGAATACTCGTGTAGCTGTTTGGACTCACAAAGAGACGGCTTTGCCCGAGTGGGGCTTTGGCCAGCAAGAGGTGAATGGGAACAAGAACGCGATGGACAAGTCCGCCATGTGGTTTGTGGACGACTTGTACCCGGATGCACGTGAGTAAAAGGCCCGGCCTGTGATCCTCCTGCCCGCACGCTCACGGCTCTGTGCTGCTTGCTGATTTAGGCGCAAATGATTACGCCGAGCGCATCAAGCCCATCCCACCTCGGCCCAAGACGCGAATGAGCTTTCTGAAGAAGTTTGTTGAGCTGCAGCTCCAAATGCTTCAGCAAAATAATCAGCTCACTCAATCGCATCCGTATGCTTCTGGACCTTTGAACTGGCCTTTCGTGCTTCAGGGCATCTCCTTTTGGACGCAAAATGACACACAGGAACAAATATACCTCATTGGTAATTTGGTCGGATGGTGGGCTGCGATCATCAGCATTGCCATCTATTCGGGAATTATGGGAGCTGATGCGCTTGCACGCAGAAGGGGCGTAGAGCCCATCGACTCGGCGATGCATCGACGAATGACTCATGCCGGTGGATTCTTCTTCACGGCGTGGGCCTTCCACTACTTTCCCTTCTTCCTGATGAATCGACAACTCTTCATCCATCACTACTTGCCGGCGCACATTATCAGCTGCCTGATGGCCGGATGCGTCTTCAACTTCGTCGTCTCTGAAACCATCAACTTTCCAGTCAGTCGTCCCGGTCCTGGCCTCAGTCAGGCGAATTTCAAGAGGAAGCTCAACAACACGCTCAGTCCTGCCGCCAAGGCGAGCGCTGGAGTCATCGTATCTCTCCTCATTCTTTGCTTTTGGTTCTTCAGCCCTCTCACTTACGGGACACCTGGACTTACCACCGAAGAGGTGAACCAACGCAAGCTACTAGGATGGAGTCTGCATTTTGCCAAGTGAAGCGGCAAATGAGCCCGATAAGGTGCATCGCAAGACCTCAGACAGAAGGAACGCACTCGTCTACCCCTCGCTCGTCATCGTCGGAAACGCAACTCGCATTTGTTCGACGCCACGAAGACCTTCCACCTGTTCCGATGCAACAGCAATTCATGTTTTCAGCCTAGTGAACCTGCGTCAGGAGTCTTTCACCGGGTGCGCCTTCCGTCGGTGATGCGACCCAACATTACCTTGACTCTTGGGCGGCAGTAATCACAGCAGAGTGTCAAGCCTTCTCGTCGTCAGAAGGCGTCACGTAAGTTCGGACGCCAAACGAAGCGATGACTGATCTATATGACTGCCTCTTGGCCGGTAAACTCGACAGGAAAGGTGCAGGGAGAGAGATTGTCAGAGGAGACGAATACTAGCGCTGACGTTTGCAGCCGTTCTGCACAAGTACTTCGACTGCCTTGTTCGCCTCATCGAGCTGCAGGCGCAACTCAGACTTGTTTTCTCTTCGTGCCAAGCTGTCGTAAGTGGCAGTATATTCGATGGTGCGGCAGAACGGAACGTTGGAGCGATCAGCACACTGGGCAGCTGATCGCTATCCACGCACTGCCAAAAGGTTGCGGGATTGCCCGCTGAGATCTCGACCGGCAGCACCTTCTGGCGCTAAGACCTCGCTGAGCATGAGCCTTGACGCTGGATGGGCCAAATCGCCAGGCGGGCGGATTGCTTCCGTAGGGTGCGTCTGTGCGAATGCTCTTGCCGCTAATCGCAACTGACCCGCACGTTGGCTTCTTTCTGCCCCCCCTATTGTCCTTGGTCCAGAAAAGTGTTTCAAGTCCTTCAAAGACGCTACTCGTAACCCCGTCGCAGCCACGAACGAGGCCGATGCTCTGGATTCGGCGGCAGCCCCAGCTCGACCGCCGCTGATCGCCCTCGACAAGACGCTAGCAAAGCTGCAGTAGTAGCAGGACACGCTTCCCCGCTTTCATGCATGCTTCTCATTTTGCTCCGCACCGCCGCACGGCGCGCACTTTAGTGCATCCGCGTGCAGCCGCACGGTTTCACAGGCCACAACAGGCAGCGCAACAGGTACCGTCCCGCTGCAGCGCACCCAGATTGAACCCGGACGAGCAAGTCTTGACATCCATCTAAGCAAGCCCCTCCCGACGCCACTTTAACCCCACACTTTCCGGACCCTGTCGCAGCGAAGCACTGCTTTCACGCGCACTGATCGCCCTATTCGACGCATGCCGACGAAGAAAGCCAACAAGAGCTTCCCTCGCCCAAGACTCAAGCTCCTTCCCCCTTCCTCACTCGTCATTGAGCCTTTGGTCCCTAGCCGCGAAGCACTCCAGCTTTGCGGCGATTGGAATGCAGGCGCTAGGTAATGCTCTGCTGCTCCAAATCGCCATTCTTCCCACGCTTGAGGCTTGATTCGGAATCCATACGTTCCGGCGGCGACCTCTAGCGTGCGAATCGCGGAATATGGCAGTCCATTGAGCCCGGTGTCTGTGCTCTCAAAGCGCATTTCCAAACTCACTGCACCTGCATAATAGTGCTCCCGGATCAAGTGCATCAAGCACGGCGGGAATGTTTCCGCGCTCTCTCAGGGGCGGGGCCGATCAAGTCACGCTCCAGACGCGCTCCCCGCGTTGTCGTATGGTTCACGCTCCTCAGCGGACTCGCACGACCGCCTTTGGACGATTCTGACGCTGGAATGAGGTCTGGCGCGGTCATGCCGAAGCAGAGCAAGTGCGTGCAGTGCTCGATGTCTATAAAGTCCGCGTGGCTCTCGCAATCCAGGCGAAAGCGTCGCAAAGTCTCCCATCCCCACTCCCCTCCGACCCCGCGACGTGCAGTCTCATTCCCGCCCCCTTTCCAGTGTCCCCGCTTTCACAATGAAGCTTACAGCACCCTTCCTCGCTCTCGCAGGCTCCCTGGCGATTTTAGCTGAGGCTGCTTCCATCGAGCCTCGCCTCGTTGGTCGCTTGAAATATCCGCAACCTACCGTTGATCCGTTCTACAGAGTCCCTAGCAACGTTGCATCCTACACCAATGGCGCTATAATTCGCGAGCGCGACATCACAGCAGATGTTGCGCTAGGTGTCGACTCAAACCAGTACTCCAAGGTGTACCAACTGCTGTATCGCTCTCAGACCGGTCTCGGAGCACCAGATGCGACCGTTACGACCGTGTTCCGACCCAAATCTCCCAAAAAGGGCGCAGCGCAGGTCGTGACGTTTGCCGCTTTCACCGATTCTGCTGCCAAGGATTGTGCGAGCTCGTATGCGCTGATCAAAGATTCCGGCAGCCAGCAAGACACGATCGTCAAATTACAGACCCCCTTCATCAACGCGCTTCTGCAGAAGGGATACTACGTGAGTCGTCGAGGCCGAGCCTTCAAGATGTTTGGCGCCTAATTGGCTAGCACTTCCATTCATTTGCAGGTATCCGTCCCTGATTATCAGGGCTCGCAGGCAGCGTTCATCGTGGGCCCTCAAGAAGGTCGGGCCCATCTCGACTCCACGCGCGCCATCCTCAACCATCGGCCCACTATCGCCGATCCTACAGGCCACCAAGCGATTCTGTCCGGCTACAGTGGTGGTGGTCATGCTGCAGCCTGGGCTGCCCAGCTGCGCAAAGAGTACGCGCCCGAGATCAACGTTGTTGGGGGCTCATTTGGTGGCGTCCCAGTAGACCTCAAAGCGACGCTGCTGAATCTCAACAATGGCGCGTTCGCTGGCTTCGGCATGGCCGGGCTCGCCGGGGCGGCCAATGCTTATCCAGAGCTTGTGACTCTTTTCGACGGAGAACTAAAGCCGAACGGCACCGAAGCCTTCAAGTTCCTCCGGTCTGATCAGGGTTGCGTCGTCGGCGAGCTAGCCAAATTCGCCGGCGTCGACTACTTTGGCTACATCAAATCTGGGCAGGCGCTTCTGGACAACCCTACGGCCAAGAAATACTTCGAAATCAATCGTCTGGGTTCTCGTGGTGCTCAAGACTATCTGGGCTCCGACATTCCCTACTACATTTATCATGCCAAGAACGATCAGGTCATTCCAAGACCTCCAGTTGACGAGTACGTAGCTTCGCAGTGCGCACAGGGGGCGCGCATCGAATACTCTCTCAATCCGGTCTCCGAACATGTAAGCGAGACGGTGGCTGGGGTGGCTGGCCAGGTCGATTGGATTAACAAGGTGTTCGAAAGCAAGCTGGTGCAGCCCGCTTGCCTCAATTCCACCCACTGAAGCTTCTGACGGCCGGACGGATCCATCACCATCGTAACGTGTTCAGCTCCAATTTTTTCTTTGCTCGCCGCTGTCATTGTAGTTCGCCGATTCACTCCTCGTTCGCTACTGAACCCACTGTTTCTTCCTCGCTGCACCATACTCACTCCTTGCGCTTGCTTGCTACCGATACCCAGACCACCCTTGCACAAGACCGTGAGACCCCACCCGGCTCACCCTAATTGACACGGGCGTTTCCTTCGAAGAGCCGTGGATGTGAAATTTTGAGCGCCGCGCCGGTGACACAGCGCACCTGCAGAAAGTGCTTTGCATGCGTTGCGAGCCCGGCCACGTGGTCAGAGCGAGACGAGACCGACGCCCATGGTCTAGTCACGTGTCATTTTTGAATCCATGTCAGCGGCTCATCGCGCAATTTTGAGCACGGACCGCATTAGCGCCATGCAACTACTCTGCGCCGCGCGCTAGTGTTGCAGCGCGGAGCCGCCGCGCATTGGCGAGGGCCTTCTTTGCTCACCCCTACCATCATCCCCACCGCGTCCCCTGCGAGCGGGGATGTG